ATTGAACTCAGGCCCTTGCGCTTGCCAGGGAAGCACTTATTCTATTGAGCCATCTCTCCAGCCCCGGGATTTCTTTTAGCAACTTTTTTTTTTTTTTGGTCTTTTTGAAATGGAGTCTCACTATGCAGTTCAGGAGGCCTTGAGCTCTCTTTGTAGCCCAAGCTGGTCTTGAACTCACAACAATCCTCCGGCCTCAGACTCCCAAATTCTGGGGATATAGGAGTGTACCACTGTGCCTGGCCAGCCCGGCAACTTAGGTGTGAATCGCACCTGCACACACCTGTGCGAATGTGCACAAGTTGCTTCATCTTCTGAGTCTTCCTTTTCTTATTTGCAGAAGTAATATCAACTTTATTGTATTTTTTTTATAAATTAAATGTTTTTTAAAAATTTTATTTGTGTGTGTGTGTGTGGCCAGCTCAGCCCACCAGGGGGCGGGGCTGGCTGGCATGTGGTGCTGGGGGACTGAACCGCGGTCCCTGTGCTTTGCTAAGCTAGTTCTAAGTAGGTGCTTTAGACCACTGAGCCATCTCACCAGCCCAGTAATATCAACTTTAGAGAGTTGCTGTGAATGTGGTTTTTGCTTGTTTTTCAATTTTTTGAGACAGGGTCTTGCCATGTAGTCCAGGCTGGCCTTGAACTCATGTCTATCCCTCTACCTCAGCCTCAAGAGTACTGGGATAGCCAGCCTGGGTTACACAGAGAGGTCAAGGCCTGCTGGACTACATAGCGAGACTCTGTCAAAAGAAAAAATGCAGGCATTACAGACATGAGCTACACACCCAACTTAGCCTAGCTTTCCTGTGACTGAATTTCATCTGTCCATGAACCTGAGTTGAAAGACGCTCCACTCACTCTGGACATCTCTCAACTGGCCAAGACCTGGGAAGGGTGGAGGGTGGGAACTCTGGGTGGCTCTGGTACACATGTGCCCTGGAGCTCCGTCCTCTACCTGCCCCTTGTACAGCTCTACCTCCATGATGGAAGTTGACAGCTCAGTGCGGTGCCCAGGACGAGGGACTCAGCTTGGGAGTGGGGTCTTGCGAGGCTGGATGTGCCTGCTAGTGCTCATGACCACTGAACCACAAAGCTTCCTAGCCAGCCCCTGGGCAGGACCCCAGGCCGCCATTCTGGTCTTCCCGAAAGGAGCGAAGGGGGCGGCCCCAGGCTTACCCATCAGCAGGAGCAGGGCGGCACCCATGGCCGCACAGTGGGAGAAGCGCAGCTCCAACGCGATCTGGTAGCCCAGGGGCACCGACAGGGCCCCCGTGAGCGCGGGCAGCAGGCGCAAGGCCCACACGGGCACATTGCTGGTGTACTCTGCAGGGGCGACGACAGCGATGCTGAGGTCCAGAGGGCCGCATTGGCGGCCGAGCAGGAGAGCCACAAGGCTGCTAACCAGGCTTGGGCCTGTTGTAAGACAGGGTCTTGCTACGTTTTCTAGGCTGGCCATCGCCTAGGCTCCAGTGAGCCTCCTGCCTCAGTTTCCCAAGCAGTGGGGGGCGGATACAGGTGCATATTACTGTGCGTCTGGCTGCTTCAAAACTAGCTTTACATAGTTAAGGAACCACAGGAAAAATGACTAAGGACTGTAAGATTAATGCTTCCTTGTGTTTAACCCAGCTCTTCTAAAACACTGTGGGGACATACACAATGTACAGGTACAAAAGCTAAATACAAACAAATGCCATGGGATACACGGGCCAATATTATTACAGCTAAACAAGGAGACCTTTACCAGACTTTTCAAGAGTTCTTCTTTTGCATCTAAATAATTACCAGACCTTGCACTCTGACTGATAACCAACCACTATTAAACTACTATGTCTTGATTCTGTGTGCACATCAATAAGGAAAGTTTCAGTCGTCCCTTACCTGCTCCAATCCTGTTCCACAAAAAGTTACCATCAAATCCTCCTAAATAACCTGAAACAGAAAATTAATTTGTGGAGTAACGTGACAGGCAGCCAACGCGGAGATATGAGTCATCACTGAGACTGCTAAATGTACTTAGGGGCCTGAAGGCATGGCCACCTCCATGAGGACACCTAGGGGCCTGAAGGCAGGGCCACCTCCATGAGGACATCTAGGGGCCTGAAGGCATGGCCACCCCCATGAGGACACCTAGGGG